CCCAAGGAGAGGGGCATTGAATAGGGGGGGGTCTATCTTTAGACCAGGTGGACATTTGAAGGGCTTGAGCTCTCAGCTTTTGCGCTTGTTTGAGTGAAACGAGGATGAGAGAATTTAATGGGAGTTAATGAAGGGGAGGTGAGAATTTATGGGCTTATTTGTTGAGACTGTTTTATATTGTAAGAACAGTGCTTGAATTCAAGAAAGAGAAGTGCAAGAGAGAGAAGGTAAGAAACAGTATGAGGGTGACTCTTGTTACACACAGGATGCACATTTATTAATGTTGCAAATTTTATTAGGCGGTCCGTGCTATTCGCAAGAGATCGAGAGTGATCGAGAGATCGAGAGTTTAGTTTGAAAATTTTAACTATTTATTTGTAAGAGATAGAGAGTTAATTTGAAAATTTTAACTACTATATTCACGGTTAAAATCACTCCACTCCTACGGGTTGGTTATGATAAGATTTATATGTTGCGCGCAGCGGAAATTTCGGCAGCACTTCGGCAGCACAACAAGAGTTAGGTCGCAATAAAAATTCTTGTTTCTCAAAGGGAACAAGAATCTGAAGCCTAATATCTCATCAGAGTGGGATATTAGCTCTTCCTCTCGTCAGCTCTAGGAATGCGCGTCGAGGGAACCTAAAAGCTATTACAAATCACACAAATAACGAGACAACCAATTTTACGTGGTTCGGCAAATTGCCTACGTCCACGGGGCAAGGAGGGGGGAGATCTACTAATAGAGGGAGAGATTACAAGTAGGGTTTACAATCACTCACAATCTAAACCCTCAAACAAACTCTCTCAAATCCCTCACAAACTCTCTCTACAAAATTTGCACCTGCAGCCGCAAAAATTCCCACGAACACCCGCACTTTTCCCTCTGCCTCAGCCGCAAAAGAGAAAAGAAACAAAGTTGCCTTGCACTGCCCTCTTGCACGAAAACCTAGAAACCAAATACATCAATATATATAGCAGCATATGTATTCGGGTGGGCCGGCCTTGGGTTCTCTCTTCACGCGTGAATCTTGATTCACACGGTTTTGTTTTTTTTCTCACGTGGGTTGTGGCCCCCACATCTTCACAATTCTCCACCTCGGTAAAGTTTTCTCAAAACTGAGCTGACACCAAAGCAACCAAATGTCTCACTTGTTGTGGCCAGTACGAAGTCAATCCACAACAAGTCGAGAACTCAAACGAGAGTCCAAACAATCTCACCCCCATCAAAATCAACTAATCCAAACCGGCTGCATCTGAAAGACTGCCTACGTATCCTCTTGTCTAAGGAATCAAGCCGAACGTAGTTCATCCAAATGGCCGTCAACGGCCTCAACAATCACGAATATGCAACAAGTTTCGACAATGATCAAACTTGTTGTTCGGAACCTCCTTAGTGAGCATATCTATCGGATTATCCTTCGTGTGGACCTTCACAATCTCCACATCGCCATCTTCAAGAACATCTCGAACGAAGTGATAACAAACATCAATGTGCTTCGTCCGCGCATGAAAAACCTGATTCTTCGCCAAATAGATAGCACTCATGCTATCATAATGAATAGTGACGGACCTCTGCGATATACCAAGTTCCTCCAAAAGTTCTCGAAGCCAAATAGCCTCCTTCACAGCCTCCGTAACTGTCATATACTCTGCCTCCGTCGTAGACAAAGCTACCGTCAACTGTAAGGTGCATCTCCAACACACCGGCGCACGGGTCAAAGTGAACACATACTCTGTCGTAGACCGGCGCTTATCCAAATCCCTGGCATAATCCGAATCAACATAGCCAATGCATAGCTGCCCACTTGTAGTGTCCCGCTCATAAACTAAACCAACATTGAGCGTACCTCAAATGTACCTCAAAATCCATTTCACGGCGTCCCAATGACCCACTCCTGGATCGTGCATGTATCTCGACACCATGCTCACTGCCTGTGACAAATCCGGCCTCGTACATACCATCGCGTACATCAAGCTCCCAACCGCACTCGCATATGGAGTCTTCGACATCAACTCTCTATCTTCAACTGACTTCGGTGAAAGACCAGCTGAAAGCTTCAAATGGGCTCCCAATGGTACACTAACTGGCTTCGTATCCATGCTAATATGGAATCGCTGTAAAACCTTCTTCAAATAAGCCACCTGTGTCAAACAAATTTTGCCCTTCTTCTTGTCTCTGCCGATCTCTATTCACAAAATACGTTTGGCCTCACCCAAGTCCTTCATCTCAAACTCATTTGAAAGTTAAACTTTCAACTCATCTATAGCCGACCTGGAAATAGAGGCAACCAACATGTCATCGACATAGAGCAACAAATAAATATACGCACCTCCTTTCAACTTGCGAAAATATACGCAAGGATCAAACTGGCTCCGAGTGTACGAATGACCAAGCATAAAACCATCAAATCGTCTATACTACTGTCGAGGAGACTGCTTCAAACCGTATAGCGATTTTTTTAATCTGCAAACCAACTTATCTTTCCCTGCAGCTCGGAATCCCAATGGCTAAGTCATATATATTTCTTCATCAAGATCACCATGAAGAAATACCGTCTTCACATCCAATTGATCTAACTCCAAACCATACTGTGCCACCAAAGCTAGCAAAATCCGAATCGAAGAATACTTCACCACCGGAGTGCATACGCAACTGTGTCGGCGTACCGTGCTGGCATCTGTATGTTTCTCCTCTGTCTCCGAACCGCAATAGAATCCTGAACCTGAGCCGTCGGTTCTTGATCCTGCACATTTGTACTCGTATCCTCCGTGTCACCGTCGTGCTCACCTGGCGTCACCTCAGTCGGTACCTGCATGGATACTGTACCATCTGGACAATGTGGAGCTACATCGATCTCCACCACCTGCGATATCTCCTCCGTCGGGTTGCTCTCCACCTGATGAGAGCTAGGAAGCTTCAAGATAGAAGCCTCATCGAATGTGACATCCCTACTCAGCACGCTTGAATCCTACAAATATGGCCTTCCTAGCTCGAGGTTCCAATTTATCAGTTCTAACATGATAATATGCAGGGCACCCGAATACCTTGAGCTGGTCATAGTCATGTGCTGGCTTTCCCGACCACATCTCCATAGGGGTTTTCCCCTCAATCGCAGATGAAGACAGCCTATTAATGAGGTGGCTCGCATACGTAAGTGCCTCAGCCCAAAAGATCTTCTCCAAACCACTCTGCGATAATAAGCATCGGATCTTCTCCAGTAAAGACCGATTCAACCTCTCTGCCACCACATTTTGCTGCGGTGTATGACTAACTGTGAAGTGTCTCTTTATGCCCTCGTCTCGACATAGCTGCTGAAAGGGGTCAGAAGTATACTCACCACCGTTGTCGGATCGCAACGTCTTGATCTTTCTCCCAGTCTGCAGTTTCAATCTCTTCTTCCACTCCACAAACAAATCTAGGACTTCACTCTTCTTCGTCATGGTGTACACCCAACATCGCCTAGAATAATCATCTACAAAAGTAACGAACCAATGTCGACCACCAAGTGATGCAGTCTTGGTGGGACCCCAAACATCTGTGTGCACGTAATCCAGGATGCCCCTCGTCTGATGAATGGCAGTCCCGAACTTCACATTCGTCTTCTTGCCAAGAACACAGTGCTCACAGAACTCAATCTTCCCACTCTTGGCTCCCTTCAATAGCCCCTGCTTGCACAATGCCTGCAGTGACTTTTCACCTGTGTGCCCCAACCTATAGTGCCAAAGTCTGCTCATGTCCGCTTCTGAAATAGCTGAAGCAACCTGGCCAATCTCGGTGCTTCCCTTCAGATAATACAAATTCCGATTGCGGACTCCCTTCATCACCACCAATGATCCCTTAGTAACCTTCGCTACAACGTTTTCGAAAGTCACCTTGAATCCCTTCGCCTCCAAAGCTCCAACTGAGATAAGATTTTTCTTCAGTTGAGGAACAAATTTTACTTCCTTCAACTCACGGACTACTCCATCGTGCATCCTAATCCGCACAGTACCTATCCCACAAACGCCACAGGATTGATCATTTCCCATGACAACAACGCCCCCGTCGACTTTCTCAAAAGATGCAAACCAGTCTCGCCTAGGGGTCACATGAAAGGTAGCGCCGGAATCAAGCATCCAATCTGATGCATCCACATGGTTCACCTCCGGAGTAATCAGTAGAGAAAAGCACGAATCATCGGAATCATCGCCTTTCGCAATGTTCACCTCATTGGCCTTCGGGCCCTTTTTCTTACCATTCTCCTTCTCCTTGAGCTTCGGGCAGTCTCTCTTCCAATGTCCCTGCTCCTTGCAGAATGCACATTGGTTCTTTGTTAAATGGTGACGGCCTCTAGACTTTGACCTTCCTTTATTACCACCTTTCGGATATGGGCTTCTACCTCTCGTCGACAAGGCCTCACCTGAAGTGCTAGCACGGGAAGTCTCCTTGTCCTTCCTCCTCAAATCGTAATTGGTCAATGCGTTAGTCACTTCACTGTAGCTGATAGAAGATCTCCCGTTCAACAAAGTGAGCACGAAGGTATCATACTCCTCATCCGATAAGGAGCCCAACAAAATAATCGCCTTGTACTCATCCGATATCTTCTCATCAACATTCGCCAAGTCCGACAACAACTTAGTGTAGTTGTTCACATGAGTCGCTAGCGAGGTACCTCTGGACATCTGGAATCTGAATAACCTACGCAGTAAGTGCAACCGGTTCTCAACACTCTTCGTAAGGTATTTATTATTGAGAATTTCCCACATCTTCATCGCAGACGTCACCCCAATCACATCATACTTCAGCTCCTGTTCCAAACAGGACCTGATCACCCCACAAGCGTTCCTATTCATCTTCTCCCATATCGCCTCATCATATTTAGGTGGCCTCTCGTGAACCATGATGGTCTCTTCCAAATTCTGAGCATTGAGCGCATCTTGTACGTCGCTCATCCACAAACCAAAGTTGATTTTGCCGTCATATTTCACCAC